CTCCCAGCATGAATTATTCTTCTAATGGTCACCATTGTTGAGAATCATATGATGATTCTTGATGTACACTCACCGGCCACTTTATTAGGTACACCTGTCCAACTGCTCGTTAACACTTAATTTCTAAGCAGCCAATCACATGGCGGCAACTCAGTGCATTTAGGCATGTAGACATGGTCAAGACAATCTCCTGCAGTTCAAACCGAGCATCAGTATGGGGAAGAAAGTTGATTTGAGTGACTTTGAACGTGGCATGATTGTTGGTGCCAGAAGGGCTGGTCTGAGTATTTCAGAAACTGCTAATCTACTGGGATTTTCACGCACAACCATCTCTAGGGTTTACAGAGAATGGTCCGAAAAAGAAAAAACATCCAGTGAGCGGCAGTTCTGTGGGCGGAAATGCCTTGTTGATGCCAGAGGTCAGAGGAGAATGGCCAGACTGGTTCGAGCTGATAGAAGGGCAACAGTGACTGAAATAACCACTCGTTACAACCGAGGTATGCAGCAAAGCATTTGTGAAGCCACAACACGCACAACCTTGAGGCGGATGGGCTACAACAGCAGAAGACTCCACCGGGTACCACTCATCTCCACTACAAATAGGAAAAAGAGGCTACAATTTGCAAGAGCTCACCAAAATTGAACAGTTGAAGACTGGAAAAATGTTGCCTGGTCTGATGAGTCTCGATTTCTGTTGAGACATTCAGATGTTAGAGTCAGAATTTGGCGTAAACAGAATGAGAACATGGAACCATCATGCCTTGTTACCACTGTGCAGGCTGGTGGTGGTGGTGTAATGATGTGGGGGATGTTTTCCTGGCACACTTTAGGCCCCTTAGTGCCAATTGGGCATCGTTTAAATGCCACGGCCTACCTGAGCATTGTTTCTGACCATGTCCATCCCTTTATGGCCACCATGTACCCATCCTCTGATGGCTACTTCCACCATGTCACAAAGCTCTAATCATTTCAAATTGGTTTCTTGAACATGACAATGAGTTCACTGTACTAAAATGGCCTCCACAGTCACCAGATCTCAACCCAATAGAGCATCTTTGGGATGTGGTGGAACGGGAGATTCGCATCATGGATGTGCAGCCGACAAATCTGCGGCAACTGTGTGATGCCATCATGTCAATATGGACCAAACTCCCTGAGGAATGCTTCCAGCACCTTGTTGAATCTATGCCACGAAGAATTGAGGCAGTTCTGAAGGCAAAAGGGGGTCCAACCCGTTACTAGCATGGGGTACCTAATAAAGTGGCCGGTGAGTGTATGTGTAAGTCAGCATGATACCATGATTATTGAAATCTGATTGTCACAACAATGGACCTTATAGTAGAATCACAGTTCTATTATAATGTATAATACAAGTAATACATCACCTGTTTATTCAGATATTAGGCTATGAAAAGATCAGGGAATCAAGTCACTAATTGATGATTTTCATCATCAAAACACAACCATCAACACATGATCATATTTCCTTTTGGCTTTTGTGCTATAACAAATGTGTTTTATAAACACTCAGTTTCAGCAGCCAGAGAAAATCTGGTGTTATAAAGTCAAGGGTCAAGAGCCCAACTAAAGCAAACACTGACCACTATCATGGAGTCTTTAAATGAAACAATACATCATCATCATCATCTAAGCCTCTGTTCATTCTCAATTGCAACTTATGTAGATGTCTGACAGAAATAAAGTCAATCTGGTCAGTAATAAGTGAAGCAGGTGATGCTGTTTGTGGAGTTGTTTAATCCTCCTCTGCTGAGATCTTCAGAGATGTAATGTCGTCTTTTATCTTCATTTGATTTCCTCTAAGACTGTGTCTGAAGACAGTTGTAGTTCTTGTGTTTCTCTTTCCTTCTGTGATTCTGCTTGTTAACAGCAGGTGTTCATCACTAATGCTCAATAATCACTAAATTAATCACTTAATTCTTGACTGCAATGTATATCTACTTTTAGTGAACTCAACTGAAATAATTGCAGAGTACTCATAACTATTGTTTTCATCAACTTTGAATTGAGGCAATATGTTTCCTCAAATGAAACGAGTTAGCTTAACTTATTTTATTTTACTTTATGTGTAATATTGTGAGCTACCAGTAACTGCAAGTGCTCTGAGTTCATTTAAAGTTTGTCATTTCACTGTTTTTACTCAATATAGTGAAGTTTCAGCTATATAAAGTATTTAAATGCAGTGTAAAGTTTAATTGTGTATTAAGAAATATCATTGTTTTAGTGGACTCGATTAAAATAAGTTCAGAGTACTCATAACTATTGTTTTTATAAACTTAATTGAATTGAGGCAATCGGTTTCCTCAAATGAAATGAGTTAGCTTAACTTGTTGGGTTTTACAGTGAACAGAAGCACAAATAAATACAATAGAATAAAGATACAACTGAAATAAAGAGTGCTTCAAGTTTTTTAGGTAGATCTAACAGAAGTTTTCAGGAACAGGAATACTATCAACTATAATTATTACAATATTATTACACAATTATTTATTAAAACTATTGAAGTTTTTTTAAGTGTTTTATTAATATGAATGACGTACTGCTGCAGATTTATTTATTTATATAGCCCTGTTATAGTAGTGGATAAAAGGCTGTGTGTGTGTGTGTGTGTGTGTGTGTGTGTGTGTGTGTGTGTGTGTGTGTGTGTGTGTGTGTGTGTGTGTGTGTGTGTGTGTGTACGCTCATGTACATTACCTAGCCCTGTAGAGTGTTTATTGCTGATTACACCTGCAACATCTCCAAACCTAACCTCTCTCTATCCTTCCTTCTGTACTCCTCGAGCAGTGGTTGCTGTATAATTTTTCCCTGAACTTTGTCAACATGGCTAAAACTTTTTTTTCTCACTTGCTGACTGCCTACAATGAAACAAATCATGAAGCAAAATATCAACAGTTAGAAAAAATATTTAAATTCATATTAAATCCATAAGGTATATTTAAAAGTAGTACACAATGATTAAATTCTCATTTCCAAAACAGAAGTTCTCTCTACCGCAACTGTCCTTAAATGGTTGCAGTATATGAGAATGGTGTTTCGGAGGATGAGGTGTCTTGGTATGTTTTGCTAACAATAGAGAATCCATGATGACTTTGCTAATCTTTTACTCAGTGCATATAATTAGACATTAATGAAGTACAATTTTATAAAAAAAATTGTAAATCTAACAATTTTCTAAACATAGAAAACTACTTGTTTCGGTAATGATAATCAATATGCCGTGTACACATTCTGACAAGTGAATATTTTACATTTAATTGGAGAAATATAAAGAGATCTTCTTACCTAGTAGCCATCTTGAAGGAACTGGCCCATGTGCTTCTTTATTCAAAATCAAACTTTATTTAAATTCTGAATGTGCGTTTTAACAGTCCTCAAAAAATGTTACGGAGGATGAGAACCGCAGTCATGGACACATCATTTTCCTAGTTTTTTACATTATTATTATACATAAATATTCAATTATTTTTTCTGTCATCTGAAATAATCTAGTAGAACATCCATTTTTTTTCTGATTTATTTTTATTTTAATTTGTTTAAATTACATCATAACATACATTCAGTTAAGTTGGACGCATTACGGTAATGATAATTTTCGCAGAAAATACAGTAAAATAGAAAATAAAATGATTCCCATGTTGAAATTACACATTGTGCAAGGTAGAGATCAGTATTGTCTTTATTGTGATGCTTTTTTATATTACTAAATAACATGTTTAATATTTAAAATCATTAGTGCCGTGGTGTTTTAATGGTTTCGTGAGAATCACCCAAATAGAGATTTAAAAGGTAGGCTACATGTAAATAGTTATGAAAAACATTTATTTTATTTATTATGTTTTTTATGAATTAATTAATAAATTGTATAAGATTATTAATGGATTCTCATTGACTTATTGCTTTGCTTATTCAGATAAGATATGAGTAAGGCTGAATATCAACTCCTAAAAGCAGGGCATTCCTGTAGAGAACTTCATATAGTGTAGCAAAAAAAAAAAAAAAAAAAAGGTCTCACACAGCCCAAATTGTTATTTGGCCTGCACAAATAAGACAAACTCAAAATAGCCTATATTAAACAAAACACTAAATCTAATTAATTGCAAATACTGACTTATATCGCAATGGTTAAGGTGAACGCGACAATAGGCTATAACACGTGGACAATAGGGGTTCTGGTTCAAATTTGTAGTCTAGATTTTGTGTTTGGGTCTACTGAAACACGTTCTTATAGGCTATTTTTGCGATTATCGGGAAACCTAAATATTGCATAGGCCTAGGCTATGATTCTTTGTTTGTGAAAGTAGCCTACACGATTTGAAATATTTGACAAATAGCCTCTCTGTTATCGACGCAAACTTTTTTTTTTTTTTTTTATCGGTGGTATCGCGAATATTCAACGTTTTGTGTCCCCCCCCCCCCCCGTGGGTGATGCTCACGTTCGAAAGGAATTCACTCATTATGAAGCCTGTTCAGCGCTGAGTCTGCTGCTGAGCGCACGAGAGAGAGTGGGCCAGTAGGATGAAGACGCATAGTACGCGTGGGAACTGTATGGATTAGTTTGCACCGGCGAACTCTGCTCGCGCTCAGAGAGACTTCTTACATTAATGTCGTCACATTTCTCGCTGGACGACATTTATTCGCACGCGCGCAAAATCTAAAATATCTATTCCTTTTATCCGCGCGCAGTGACGCCTCCTTGCTGTCATGTAGGGCTTCATGTGAACGCATTAGCCTACTGTTGACCGATGGGACACAAACAGAGGGTCGCCCAGTGTGAGGAGGCAACGTGAAGAGGGTCCGCCGTGTTTACACGGGTCGAATAATTTTGGAAAAGAGAGCAAATTCTGGCAGTACTATTGGGAAAGTTCAGTTCCAGCTGCAGGGGAGCAGGTCGAAACGCTTATAACAGGGAACACTGACTGAGTGTTGCGCGTGACATCGCGTCTGAACAAATCATTTACACCTGCTTCTGAGGACCTAAAAAACTCAAACTCGACATCATATTATTTGCCGAGGATTAAGTGTCAATCGGAACCCCTAAAAATAAGGATATATCGACTTTAATTTTAATAACTAATCTGCAACTGGGTGAAAATGAGGCAGCGATTCAAATGCGCGCATAATTCACCAGTTTATTTCCAGTTGTAAGTGCTACACTTAACATCCTTGGGCTGCACATCTATTGTTTTTGAAACAGAGGTCTGTCACCCCGGAGCGGAGCATCCGGACAGCTGCATCTGGATCAGGGCTGTGTTGTTTGAAGGTTTCTGCAGAAAAAACACTGGAGCAATGAGTCGCATCCTTCACACACAGGTACGACTATTACCCCATGAAAGCGTATAGTAGCTTAACTTAAATTGTTGGTCATTTTGACAGAGAAAAGAATGTAAAAAGGCTAAACTCTAAAAATGCTGGGTTGTTTCAAACCATGTTTTGGTCAGATATGGACAAACCCAACCGTTGGTTTAAATTCTTAAAATACATTTTAAAGTCAACGGTTGGGTTTGTCCATATGTGAAACAAACAAACTAGCATTTTTTTAAAAAAAATGTAAAACATCATTAAATGTTGGTTCATATGTAAAAAATGTAGAAGGAAATAGCCTACATGCATTTGTGTTAATGTTTTTTTATACATATATATATATGGACAACGTAGCCTGATATATTACATCATAATTAGCTAACAATATGTTCGTTCAATATGGTAAAATATTGTTAAAATAATGTTATTGGAAAAGATGGATTCCCAGAACCCCCTACACAACCAATCACGTTTGTTTGGTGTCATTTAGAAAGTTAGATGCTTCTTATTACTGTTGATATATGTGCATTAGATTAGATTGTTTCATTTTGCTTTGTATGTTGCTTTGTTCATATTAGTGGCATTGTGTGTATTAACCTGATGGTGTCAATTTTATGACACTACACAGGCACATTTGTATGCATTGTCTTGCTTTCCATTGTCACTAGTGGTGTCAGTAACTGTATAGTAAAAAATATATTGTCATGGCTCAAGTATACCAGTATATTTACATAATATTTATGTTATTTACATATATAGTTACATATAAATGCCATCACATTTTTTACTGCAAACTTCTGGAAACCAGAGCTGCCAGTTTTGTCCCCCGTAAGTATTTTTTTTTTTACAGTGCACATTTGAACCATTTAAACTTTTCAAAACTATTGCATTGGTTTGTCTCACCAAGCTTATTTAGTTCAGCAAATTGTAATTGCTTTCTTAATATGATGTTGTTTGTTGCAGGATTTATTTGTTCTCATTTTTGTTCTGTTTTGTTTTGTTTAAATGTCTAAGTTGAATAGCACTTAAAGTGTGTCATTAAGCTATCATTTGACACTGAGATTTTAAGGGAAACTGTGGAGGTAATTAATGACTATCCTTCGACGGCGGAGATCATTGCCAATATGACTCAGCAGTGTGTGGGTGCTATTGAATTCTGTAGACAGTAAATACAAGCAGGGACAGGACACAATCCCCTGCAGTCCTCAGCTGAGCCGCAAGACATTTGAAAAGAATGTCAATTCTAGCTTATAATAGAAGCTTCACTGCATCACAAGCATATCATAGATTTTAAAGGATATAAAATTACATCACTGAAAGGTAAAGAAAAAATAAGCTTTATTTTTATCCCTAAAAAAAGATGCAGCAAGTGTATCAGTCTCCGCTCTGGACCGTGGCCCAGTTTGGCACCATTACGAAGTAATGTGCTGAAACTCTGACAGTCAAAACATACAAGCTTTCAGCTACCATTAATATGTGTTTTATCACTTTCAGCGCTGTGGACTGCTTGAGCGGCGGAGAGTATTTTGCACTGAAAATGATTTGAGTGACGATTGATCGAATGTATGTTGTGAAATACTTACTGAGTGAAGACATGGCCCTGTGATTTTCGCTGTGCAGCTTTTGCCAATGTTATGAAATGTCCCAAGTGGCTAGTAGGGGTGCAAAAAAGCAATTAGGATTCTATACAACTGCCAATCGACTTTCGAGATTTAACTCTTTTTCATTGCCTCAGCACATCAGTGTGGTTGCTGTGATCATTCAAATAATGCAATACCCATGGACGTTTCATAGCATTTAAAGACTGAATAACTTTTTTTTGTGTGTATCTAGAGAGGTTGGAAAGTCAGATCTGAGGCGACTGACTTGTTGTGCTGATGATTATAATAACATTGAGACCAGAAGAAAACAGAGCCATCTGTGAGAAAGAAAAGCGTATGAATGTGTAATCTTGCCCTCTTCAGAGACCAATGACATCGTTATCATTTCGTTCTCCTCCCTCGATGTATCTCTTTTGATAGCATATTTCCATCACAATGCTGCTGGCATTTGTTATACCTTGTTACCTGATGGGAGCTCAGACCCCATTCTTTTCTACTCATCTGTGAGTTTAGACTTCCAGTAGGAAACAAGAGCATCTGAGGTCATTTGCCCCAGAAGATGTTTGTTTGTGTGTTTATATCGTTCCACAGGGAGAATCATTTCACCTGCACACAACTCCTTCAGCCAGGTTATGCACAGGGAGCTTTTGTTAAATTACAGTCAACCCGGTGCAGTTCAATAAGTCTAATTAACTCATCACAGAAATGTAAGGAGCGGAAAAATGTCTCGCTCTCCACAGACCCAACAGCTTCGAGCTAAAGGTTTTAGTATGCAGGGGACTTATCAGTTTCTCCTCAAGATGTCAGAATTGAAATGTCAGGAGCGGAGTATCCACAATCGTTTTTGAGCTTTTTGTTGTGGTCTGGCTTGCTTATTTGCTGTCTTGATTTGTTGTAGCTGTGGTGGCTTCTCTACATAATGTATATAGTGTCTGTTTTAAAGAAGAGTCTTTCTTCTTTAAAACACACTATTCAGATCCATTGTGTAGAGAAGCCACCAAGCCACAAGCTTTATCATACGTGATTGCTGTCTTCTGAGAAAGATTAAGTCTGCACCGATGGAACAGCCTTTATGAGGGAAGAGTTGAGGTTTAGGGGCTTTGAGGTTTCAAGCACTTCCAAAGGCATTCAGCACTCACTGTGTCTTAGCAACGACAGGTACTGCCCATTATTTTTTTAGTTTTAATATCCCAGAGGTCAATATCGTGTCTATGATTTACATGGCTCATGCACCGCAGTGTATTTGCGTGACTAATCTAACTTGCACTGAGTAAAAAAACAGATGATGATTCCCAGAGCATATTTTCTTTTCTGTGAAACCTAGAATTGAACTTCGCGTTGGGCCACATTGTTCTTTTTGACGACAGTCTCACTTTTTATTAACCAGTCCAGGCGATGTTTTTTTTTTTTTTTTTGTTGTTGTTGATTTTTTTTTAGTACGGCAATCTAAATGGTGGCTTATTCAGTGCTGAAACCCTACTAGGTATTTAGCAGTGCTGTATCTCTTTTGGGAGCTCTTTTAGTGATTGCTGAATTGGTTGTCTTGGGTGAGATTTGGAGCAAGTATGAAATGAATGTTATGAAAACAGAGATTAGAAGCAACTGTTCACATAGCTTTCACTTTTGCAAACTGTTGTAAAGACCTATGGGCGGATCTAATCCGTGGGAAATTTGCATATCATAATTAATAATTGGTAATTAATAATTATTCATACATGTTTGGATTAGATCAGTCTTACATGTTAATAAATCTCCCGATAAGGGAGGATCTGTCATTTTACCTGCATATTTGTGAATCCTTGAAATTAACCACAAGTTGATTGCAATTAATTACACGGACCACGTTTCACAAACAGGTCAAATGAATTAGCTCAATTGTCAGGATAATATTTGTGGGATCCACAATATCATCTTACTTTATAGGATTTCAGGAAACGCAATTCTCTGGCCAGAAGAATTGGTTTTCCCGCCCTATAAACACATACCTTTTTAAGGTATATTTAATTTTATTAAGCTTGTAGCATAAGATCTTTGGCACTTAAGGGACTTGAAACTGAGCAAAGAGACAGCACATCAATCAAATGAATATATAATTAATTTAAAAGAGGCATGACTACTTATGTATTTACTACGGTTACATGGGATATATGTATTTACAAACATAATAAACAAACAAACATGATAAGGCATCGATGAACGAGAAATGCATAGAGATAGAGAGAGAGAAGAAATGTAGAGAGTTGCAGTTATGCAAGAGGGAGTTTAGAAAGACCCGAGGATCTTTCTAAATAGCAAATTCACATAGACAACAGAACTTTGAGAGACAACAAGACTTCAACAAATCTTAAAAGCGTGATCAAACACGGATACTTGCACAGGTAACTCTTTGCATGGCTTGTGAAGAAGCGTGTGTATCTCTCGGTCCGGCGCGTCACGTGGTCACGTGCGCGTGTTTCTCCTTCAAAGCGAGCGCGCGCTCGTTTAAAGGTCCCTTGTAGATGGATTTGCTGAAGAGATATGTCACGGGGTTTTCTTTTCAATCGTCGATTGGAATTAAACACAGAGACTTATCTACAACTGAAAAACACAAACTAAACTAGAAACAAATAAAAGAAAGGCGAAGAGCTCGCCCGGAGGCGAGACGTTACATTATAACACGAGGACAAGGGAGGAAGAGAGCGAGCGGAGGGGGAAAGCGTCATTTATCACTTTTGGAGAAATCCAGCCTCTTCCTGTTGGCTTGGCCAATTAGAGGGTTGGAAGTTTACAGGCGGGACTTTGGGTTTATTGCTCTTTGTCTCCAGAGAGAGACATTTGAAACCCTAATTTCGTCGGTTGTTTAAGAGAAGAATCTTCACAATTCTTATAATACTAATGTGTCACAAAGTTTAGCAAAATGTAATGTCAATTAACAAATGGGGAACGGAGATTGGAGTTTATCGAGACCAAACTTGCCACAAATGGATTTGGTTAAACCTTAGTTGGCAAAGTTTGAAACGTTATCCCATTAGAGTTGTCGAGAAACATAGACCAAACCACAGAAAGGCAATTCATGAAATAGGGAACTTAGATACATTGTTCCTGCAATTCTCAAGTGGATATATAATAATATATACACTCACCGGCCACTTTATTAGGTACCCCATGCTAGTAACGGGTTGGACCCCCTTTTGCCTTCAGAACTGCCTCAATTCTTCGTGGCATAGATTCAACAAGGTGCTGGAAGCATTCCTCAGGGAGTTTGGTCCATATTGACATGATGGCATCACACAGTTGCCGCAGATTTGTCGGCTGCACATCCATGATGCGAATCTCCCGTTCCACCACATCCCAAAGATGCTCTATTGGGTTGAGATCTGGTGACTGTGGAGGCCATTTTAGTACAGTGAACTCATTGTCATGTTCAAG